GAGGACCTGGATAAACAGTCATGGGGGAAGGAAGTGAAGGGGCATATTTAAGATACTAAGGAGAGAAACCAGTCAGGACTCTGCCCCTGTTTTGATAGTGAAGTAAAGAGGGTCATGTGTGGAATACACCTCATTTGGACAACTGAGTGTTAGAATCTCATTCATTCGTTGTTAAATAATGTTGAGTTCCACCAACTTTAGGTCATTTAAGTGGACATCCGGTTGGATCTGAAACTCAGAGGAAAGGACTATGCCAGAAATAAACATTTGTGAGATATCAACAAAGTAACTGATATCTCAGAGTAGATGAGCTCACAGAAAAAAGAAAAAGATCCAAATACATGTGTAGAAATTTCTTCTTGTCTTATGAGAAGTTTTGCTTGATAAGAGTTTTAAGTTCACAATTATCTTTTTTAAATTAATCTAACCCAGAGGCTAGCAAAGTGCTAATTATTTATTTTTAAAATTCAATAATTATCTGTGAGAACATATTTATTTCATTACGTTTGTTAGATTATTAAAATTATCTTATAGACTTATAACTATAGTAAATGCAGATTTAGTTCCTCTAGTATTTTCTCATTTAAAACTAAAAACTCATATTTATGTTTTAAATTTTTAAACTTTCATCTTTTTATAGAATGTCATTGGCCTGCTGAAGGGAAGTGATGTTAGTAAGCTTTTACAAGTCCCCCCACCCCCCAACTTCTTGCCAGGATCCTGCGGCACAGCTTGCCCTGCCATCTCTGGCTCCCCCTTCCTTCTGATTGGCTTGCCCCTTTCTCCTCCTCCTACGGAGCTCAAGTGCTAACAACATCAAGGGCTGCTGCAGTCAGCCATCCTGCAGGTCCTTCTGGCCCTTCTTTATACATCTACATAGAAGCCAGTCAGTGTTAGCTCCAGAATTTTTCAATGGGAGAGCAACAACCTCTCTGATTTGAAGAGAGAAAAAAAGCTGACCTATCTTTGCATAATATTTTGAAAGAAGAATATAGCAACTTAATTTATCCATATCAAAGTAGAGAGAGCCACTCATGATCCCTACTTCCCACCCCAATGTACCTCTGCCATCCCAAAATTAATGTCCCTGCCTGAGAAGATCTAGGACCGATGGCTTTAGGAATTTCAGAAAACACTTTAGTTCCTTCTTTTGCATTCCATTCTACTGCAATAACCTGACACCTTTATCATTCAGTTTCATTAGTAGTATTTTCATCACACTTAACATCAAATTTTATTTTATACATTTTTAATATGTTTTTATTTATTTCAGAGAGGACAGGAGAGGGAGAGAGAAACATCAAAGATGAGAGAGAATCATTGATTGGCTGCCTCCTGAACGCCCCCTACTGGGGATCAAGCCAGCAACCAGGCATGTGCCTTTGACAGGAATCTAACTCTTCAGTCCACAGGCTGGCGCTCTATCCACTGAACCAAACCAGCTACGGCTTTTATACATTTAACTTGATTACTCTATTTTTCTTCACTTGACCAGAAAGTCCAGAAAGGCAGATTCCACGTCTGGTTTTGCTCACCACTAATAAAGCTCTATTTACATATTTCAAACTTGAACAGTAAGACCCAAATCTTTTATTTATAATTAGCTTAATAATAAGAATTATTCTTTACTTATAGTATCATAAAAGTATAGTCTTTGTACAAATTAGCTTCATAATAAGAATTATTCTTTACTTATAGTATCATAAAAGTATAGTCTTTGTACAAAGTTGCCTTAATAAGATATTCTTTTTATATGACTAAGTCAAGTTTGAAAATATTATGGAGTATCACAATGTCATTTAACACTTCTCACTTTCTTCTTGTTCCATTTGGTTTCTTATTTTTCTATTTTATACTGCTCCCAAATCACAGTGCAACTCTATCTGTCCCACATTATACATAAGAAAACCAGGTAATACCAAAGACCAACTAATGACTGAAAAACACTACTCTGTGGTGTTATTTACTTTATCAATACTAATAAGAGGATATGTTACTAGTGAGATAACTTTTGCTTTATATAAGCCCATTTGTAACTAAAAAGAAAACAAAAACAGAATTCCAAGGACTAGACGTGCAAAAAGGTTAGCACTATGACCCTGGGTTTAGTATCTGACTCCATCATTTACTCTGTTCTTTGTTCTCTGTTGATGATAAAAGGTCACATTTGTTTTTCCCCCACTGTCTTTTAATCACACTGCTGTCATTTTTATTCTCTCTCAGTAAAGGGGCTTGTTAACTTCCAAGTGACTGTTCAGGCCAGAATGACTGAAAATGCAGTTAAACTGTCACTCACCCTTTTTATACCTTAAATTGTTGTTCCAAGCATAAACCCTTGCTTATAAATGGATTATTTATACTTCTAGAATCTTTTGTCTCTCCTCCAAAAAAGTTACATTTAAATTGGGATTTCATTATGCCCCAAATAGTTTTTTGAGAAGAACAGATATAAAATCTATATTATATAGGTAGAAAATGAAAAATTTGTGCCTTCTTATTTTCTTCCAAACTATTTGGCAGTTATTGCTGGAGACATCCAAATATAAAAGCAATGTACACATGTTAGAAGCAGAAAAGCAAAAAAGACTGTGGACCATGTCCAGGTACATACTGGGTATAGTGGGAAACATGTCACTAGAGCAGTGACATCCTGTTGGCGCTTCCTCCAAAACACATCCACAATCCAAGCACTCTTCCCTACCTCCATCTCACTCCGCATTACCCAAGGGGAAGGCCCTGTAATCTTCCACTGACCTGTAGCAATGCTCTTCTAACTGATTTGCTCTTCCTTGAACTTGCCGAGAACATTCCTACCTCAAGGCCTTGTATTTGATTTTCCCTCTGCCTAAAATGCTCACTCCCTTCAAGTTTCTATTCAAATGTCATCATATTGAAGAGGCCAACCTTGACACTCTATAAAATAACCCCATTTCTTCTATCTACAAACTGCCTTTGTTCCTCTTCATAGCATTTATCACTAATGTGACACATATTTATTATTAGTTTCCCGTAAAACTCCTTAAGAACAGAGATATTTTACCATCTTGTTCACTGCTGTATCCTCTGTGCTTAGAATGGTGCATGGCACACAGTAGGTGTTCAACAAATGTCTGTTGATGACATTTAACTGGTAATTGTTCAAGTTAAATAATTATATAGGGCAATAGACAATTATTTCAAGACAATTCATAGTTAATTGCCAATTAAACAGCATGGGCCAGTAACACTAAAGGAAGTATACACCAGCATCACCTGGAAAGATTTTTCAAAATATACCTGCCCAGACCTCACAACATCCACCAAACCTCTCCCGGTAGAATTCTGAACATGAGAATGTTTAAACTGCTTCCTAGGTGATTCCATTTTTTACAAATTGTGATAAAATACACCTAACATAAAATTTGTCATTTTAACCATTTCCAGGTATTTATATTTTGCACCCCTGTTTAAAACTATGGAATAATATTTAATTACTTAACTCAAAGTTTCCACACCCACAAAATAAAGATAACCTTTACCCCCTCCCCCCCTCTCTTTTTAAATATATTTGATTTTTTACAGAGAGGAAGGGAGAAAAAGTTAGAAACATCGACCAGCTGCCTCTTGCACACCTCCTACTGGGGATGTGCCCGCAACCAAGGTACATGCCCTTGACCAGAATCGAACCTGAGACCTTTCAGTCCTAAGGCTGACGCTCTATCCACTGAGCCAAACCAGTTTCGGATACCCTCTCTTTCCTCCCACTCCAAACTGCTCCAAGGTTACTCTAAAGCTAGAATGAAATGTAGTAGATATATAAAATATCTAGTTTTGTGCAAATAAGCATTAAACTAGAATTATTGGAATTACTTTAATTGAAATAGAAAATAAATTCATATTGGCAGAACCACAAAAGTAAAATCCTGGCATAAGTGGCTATAAATTTTTTTCTTTCTCTACTGATAGGGCAGATGAGAAAGAAACTTGGAAGTTTCACAGATATGATCATCTTAGAACAGTAATTCTGAAACCTGAGTGCCTCAGAATCCCATGGAGAGCTGTTTAAATGCAGATTGATGGGTCCATTCCCAGAGTTTCTGATTCAGTAATTCTGGCGGGGCCTGAGAATTTGCATTTCTAACAAGTTCCCAAGTGATGCTGAGCTACTAATTATGAGTTCAAGGGCACAAAGTTTTGGTTATGCTAGATGATGAAGTCCTGAGAGCTACAGTACGGCATGGTGCCTATGGTAGCAATACTCTGTTGTATATCTAAAATTTGCTAAGAGGGTATATTTAACTTTGGGAGGTGACAAATGGGTTTATGGCATAGATGTGATGATGGTTTCACAGGTGTATACTTGTCTCTAAACTCATCAAGTTGTATACATTAAACAAGTACAGCTGTTTATGTTAATCACACCTCAATAGTTTAAAAATAACAATGGTTTAAAGTATGCATATTCTAAAACCTCTGAGCAGATTAATTTCTTCAGTATAATTTTTAAAAAACATTTTTATTGATTTCAGAGAGGAAGGGAGAGGGAGAGATAGAAACATCATTGAGAGAGAATCATTAATAGACTGCCTCCTGCACGCCCCTTACTGGGGATCGAGCAAAAACCCAGATATGTGCCCTTGATGGAATCAAACAGGGAACACAAAATCCATAGGCTATTGCTCTATCCACTGAGCCAAACCAGCTAGAGCTTTCAATATAATTCTTAATTAAAAACCTAAAACAGTTTACTTAAAACTATAACCAATAATATGCTTATTATTTTTAGAATATTTAAATGTCAGCTAAAAATCAACTATTATAATTTAAATAATACAAGAATAATTTCATGCCACTAGTATCCCAATGACAAATTCAATCCTGAAAATATATTTAAAGTAAAGATAAGTATTAGAATACTCATTGTTTTAAAAGTTAAAAACTGGATAAAAGCAAAATGTGGTAATTTTAAAAAAGCAAGTGTAACCCATAACTTCTGATGAGTACATGACAAAATTACTTACAGGTATGGAGGCATTCCGTCACTGTGGTTGGCTTGATCAGATACCCTTTACAGATGTAGCAGGTGATGTAAGGATTGAAATCTTTCACCAAGTGTTTCTTTTGGGTAGCCATTCGTAGTTAGCTCAGGCTGGCTTCAATAGTTCAGGTAACGAAGGGTTTTAAGTTGATAAAAGTCTGATCCCAAGAGCTGGTATGGAGTTCCCAACTGGATATGCTGCGGCATGAGAACTAACATCCAGATCTATCACGAGATTGCTGGTCATCACTCCTTTTGGTGGCTCTGCTTTCCCATACCTGTTTCCACAATAATTTAAGAGATAAAACGGTATAGATTTGTCATATTGTATTAATACCATTATATTAGCAGCTCATGTTACATGTTCTTAATTAGGTAAACAGGTGAAGAGAACATTGCCTTATTGTAACAGTAGTCTGTAAACCTGCTACAATTTAATTCAGAATAATGGCAAAACTGATCCACTCCTGAAGCCTCAACTATCCTCCTCTATAGCAATGAGTCAGGCTATTAACTCCAGTTTTGCCATCTTCACCTCTATAGTAATGCATTCTGTCTGCTTGTCTGCTCTATGAGGAGCTCCTGGCGATACAAGTTAAAGGATTAAAAATTAAAATCATTACTGACCCTATCAAAATGGCCCGTTTCCATTTTGTACCCCATAGCCAGTCAATAGTCAAATCAAGCTGATGTCCTTTTCCTTTTCATCCACATCCACCTTCACTCCATCATATATTCTCTACCAGGTTAGCAAAGAATGTCAAAGAGTGACAAAGAATGTCAGTGTCTCCTCTTTACAACCAGAAAAACGTTTACATTTCTTAGCTTCTGGAGACTCTATGCCCTCTATCCAACATCCTCTTCCTCTCCTCTATCTAGATCATCGGTTTTCACCTGCAAGAGACACACTGGTGTGCCACAAGAATTTTTAAAACATGCAATAGCTGACCATTTATCAGGGGCACTGCCTTCTTTTCTCTTAGATTGTCAAATTAAAAAATGACAATAGCCATCTGGTGTGAATGAATCCAAGTTACCTATTTTTCTTTGTCAGACTGGCAAAAAATCTATTTTCTGGTGTGCCACAGAATTTTAGTAATTTATGTGTACCATGAGATGAAAAAGGTCAAAAACAACTGGTCTAGAGCCTACCTTTCCTTCAAAACCCTTCTCCAAAGCTATCCTTGGTGTAATCTCTCCATGGTTTTTAACTCTTAATTCTTTCCTGTTACATTTTCCTTTTACATATTTTAAAATATATTTTTATTGATTTCAGAAAGAAAGGGAGAGAGGGAGAGAGATAAAAACATCAATGATGAGAGACAATCACTGATGGGCAACCTTCTGCATGCCCCCTACTGTGGATTGAGCCTGCAACCTGGGCATGTGCCCTTGATGGGAACTTACCCCGGGGGCCTTTCAGTCTGCAGGCTGACGCTCTATCCACTGAGCCAAACCGGCTAGGGCTCCTTTTACATATTTTGATTTATAGTTACTAAAGGTCTGGTGCACAGATTCGGACACTGCAATCTGGGACTCTTCAGGGGATGTCAGACTTCTGGTTTTGGCCTGATCCCCGCAGGCCAGGCCAAGGGACCCCACTGGTGCACAAATCCTCTGGTATGCATATAAGGTCTTTGGTTAATTTCTTCCTGCCCTCCCCCCCTTCCCTCTGAGATTCATCAGGTTCCCATGCCGTGCCTGCCCCCTGGTGGTCAGTGCGCATCATAGCCACTGGCCCAATGGTAGAACAGTCGCTTAGGCTTTTATAGATATAGTCACTCTTTATCTCCTCTATTAGACCACAAAACTCTTTGCTAGAAACTGGTCGAATTTAGTAAATGTCTATATAACCCAGGCACTGTTACTTATCCAAGTCTTTTGTTTGTTTGTCAAACTGTAAAATGAAAATACAGCCAGTCTCCTTGGCGAGGATTAAATGAGACAACATGCATACAGTAAAATCTGAAAACCATTCACTTTTTTTTCCAGACACGTCTAGCATAATGGACTTGTACATAAGATTACAAAAAAAAAAAAAAAAAAAAAAAAAAAGCTTCAAAGGTTCCTTATTATAACAAATGTATCCTCTTAGGAAACAAGCATGAAAGAGATGATTTCCTAAATTTACTTCTGTCAACAGCAACTTTTTTCCTATCTTAGCTGTTCATTCATTGCTAAGAAGACATAAAGCAACCAGGAGGGTTAGGAGGCGCCATCGCCATTGAGAATGTGCAAGAAACAGGCTCTGCGAGTGCCCACCCTACCCGCCAGGGAGACTGCGCGGCGGGGGCAGCAGGAGGAGAGCAGGACAGACAGGGGTCTGGGTTCGGGTCCTTGGCTCGGCATGACCTTCAGCCCGGCTCCGGCCATCCGTGGGCCCGCCTTCCCCACAGGTAGGAAATGAATGGTGGTTCGAAGATCTGGGAAGCTCCCAGGAAGAGAAGTTCTCGGAAAGGGGAAGCGCGCGGCCGGACGGAGGGCGGGCGGAATGGAGGTCCGGAGCCTCCCAGCCCTGTCACCGGGGCAGAAAGGAAGCGGGGCCGGGCAGTGACAGCAACTTTTCCGCGTCCCCGGGCGCCCCGCGCACAGCGCGACCCGCCCGCCCCGCAGGTGCCCGGCCCGCGGGCGCGCTGTTCGGCCGCCGCCTCCGCCGGCCGGGCGCCCGCAGCCCCCCGCGCCCCGAGGGGGAGGCCGCGCCTCCGGAGCCCCCCAAACCCCGGCCGCCGCCGCCGCCGCCGCCCCCGAAGGCGTCTCCGGGTCCAGACGGGGCGGGCCGCGGCAGGTGCCTGGAGGGGCCGGCGCTGCGCCCGCTCCGGGCCCGAAGTTGGGGACGGGAGCGCGGGGGCGGCGGGGACCCGGCCCCTCGGCCGCCCTCACCCCCGCCGGATACCTACCAGCGGCCGCCGCCGCCGCCAACGCTCCTCGCCCGCCAGCGCGCCGGCCTCACAGGAAGGAAAGTGAAAGAGAAACAGCGCCCGCCCGCCGAGGCCTGGCCGGTCCCGCCGCCCCGTCCGCCCTCCCCCTGCAGGCGGGAGCGCGCCGGCTCCGCGGGGCCACTCGGCGCGGGCACGATAGGGCGACGGGCCTCGGGCCCAGGGCCGGTGCCGCCCCCAAGGGCAACTCCACCCCCTTCCAACCGCCGGCGCCAGGGCTGGCCCCGCCCCGACTCCGCCCATTGGTCACGCCTCCTAGACACGCCCCGGCCACGCCCCGCGACACGCCCCGGCCCCACCCCCCGCGCCCCGCCCGCGGGCCCGTGCTCCACGCAGGTGCGGGGCCGCCCCGCCCGTCCCGCTGTGCGCAGCTGTGCGACACGTAGCTTTGGCCAAATTTTATCTCCGTTCGTCTCCCCACCACCAACCCCTCCCGGTCGTCGTCTTTCATCCTAACAATGTCTGGTCTAGTTTTCCTGGCGGGTTAGCAACAAAGGTCAATGTGCAGAATGAATGAGTCACCCTGCAGAACTTCACTGGGCTGCGTCTTCCCCAAGCCAGTCCCACCTGGGCCAAGAGGGGGACGAAGACATCCTTTCATTTGTGCCTTATTAAAAAAAAAAAAAAGTCATTAACGAACTTGCTGCTGTGGGGTGAGTCCCGACAGCATGACTATTGGCACAGAGAGAGTGGGGGTTTTAATGGAAAGGTAAGTAGTTATGACTGTAAGGGTCATAAGTTCTAGTGGACTTTGAGATCTTCAAACGACCATTCATTGCAAAAAAAAAAAAAAAAAGTATTCAAAAGCATCCATTAAAAAATTCTTCAAGCCGAAACCGGTTTGGCTCAGTGGATAGAGCATCGGTCTGCGGACTGAAAGGTCCCAAGTTCGATTCCGGTCAAGTGCATGGTTGCGGGCACATCCCTGGCAGGGGGTGTGCAGGAGGCGGCTGGTTGATGTTTCTCTCTCATCGACGTTTCTAGCTCTCTATCTCTCTTCCTTCCTCTCTGAAAAATCAATAAAATATGTCTTTAAAAAAAGAAAAAAAAATTCTTCGAAGTCATTCAATTCTATTCTGCATTCTATAAACTTACAAATTTCTACTACAACTGTTATTTTGCTAAACATCAATTAGATCTCGTTCTTGGCTTCTTAGAAGACTGCAATCCAGTAATCTCAGGGTAGCAGGGAAAGCAGTGTAATCTCCACCCCTAAAATGAAAGTTAAAACTAACATGACAAAGGGAATCAGCAAAGGGCAGCTTTCAATCTTGGGTAGTATTAAAAAGAGGAAAAGGTGTTGCCAGTTGCGTCCATTGAAGTGAGAGCAGTGATGGTTGGTTAGGGAGTTGACAGTAGTGGAAGGGGAGGGGAGAATTAATGCAAAGTATTTGCTTTAACTCCAAAGTATTTGCTTTACCTCCAATTGACAGGAGTAAACTTGGTTATTGCCAGAGTGATCAACTGTGAAGAGGGCTCTAGTGACAAACCAATGAACCCAGTGATCACTAAGCCAGGTAAACCACCTAGGTATTCAAAGATTCATTTCCAATTTAAAAATACACCAAAAAGTAGACCAGGACAACTTAAAATATCCAATTTATAGTTAAACTTACATAGACTAAACATAACATTTAAAAATTACCATTTGTAATATAGCAGGAGCAATACATTTTCAGAAACAGCATTCAATTACCACATTTTTAAGGCAAAGGTGATCTTTTTAAAGCTAACATGCCCATTTCCAAGGTTAATCAACTTCAGTAACTCACAGCCATCACAATGAGAATGAAAAACATGTCAGGTCAAATGACTTGATAGCTGAAGGATTACTCTTCAGATCTCTCATCTTGGAGACAAAACAGATCAACATGTGAAAAGTCACTCTATTTCTAGTGTAGTTAAAGTACATAATGAAAGATACTACCATACATACTACAACATGTACAATATGACCTGGGATTTTCCTACTCTGCATGTGAACCTACTCTAAGTATACATTTTACAGAATAACATTTCATGAAGTCCAGGAGGCTTGAATGTGATTAGTGATCAACACTGAGTGGAGTTTATTAGCATTCCCTGAAGAAATGAGCTTGAAGATGGATGTTAGGGGGATTTACATTGACAAAGGAGGAAGGGGGGCTCACAAAGATGCT